GAGGCAGCGTACGAAGACGTATGAGGAGGAACAAAATGAGAAGGTATTTTCCGTTTTTAGTGGAGGCTTTCAGGAATATTTACATTTCCTTTCGATGCGAGTTAGCTGTATGTAAAGGCTTCTTGACTTTTATCACGAGGATGGGGCTTCTTTCTCGTGCTAATAGCCGAAGAACTTAGTCTAAACGAGACAATTCGTTCGTTTTCTACTGATAAATTGGTTTTTTTAAGCAACTCACAGGGAGCCAGTCGAGACTCTCGCTAGCTAGTATTGACTTTTGGAACATTTACCACTTGTTCTGCTTCATATTACTTCACACCGATAAAGAACAAAATGCAGTGGTGCTACCGATTTTCTTGACGTGGACAGTTCTTTTCTCCTTTTAAGAACGGCCCACATGTCGTAGAACTGACGAAAGAAGAGGATTTACTTGAGTGCTTATCGAATTTTAAGTGTGCGTGCTTGTCGATTGATTTGTGATGAGTTTTGACGAATTACGGATAGCTTGCTGTAGTTGAGGCAGCCAGTTTTTACATGGTTTTTCCCCGCGATCCTGTTCTTTCGAGGGATAAATGTAGAACAAGTTTTTTATCTCTAGAGATTTCGATAAGTGAATGGTGGCCTATTTTAATATGGCTTTAGCTTATTAATAAAATCACTAGGATTGTCTGGGCTGGTGTATTTACAGTGCTGAAATATAGCTGCGTGGTAAACATAGCTGTGCTAGGTCTCCGTATCGTGGCGCATCGGTTGCCACTTTTTTTTTCAGTGTTCTTCACTGAATTAGTATTTTGTCTTCAAAAATTTGGTAAAAAAAGTTCGTGGCGTAGCAGGATTTCATCTGATGATCCCGAGAATTTTTTTTTGGAAGTGCTTAGAATCTTTATGTACAAAACGCAAAGCGAATATTTTTTTTCAGGTGCAGATGGAAATGATCGCACAAATGGCGAAGGCCGAGTCAAGTGCAAAAGAAGACAGCAGAGGTTAATCTCTTTTTTTTTTTGGCTTTTACAACTATTACTGTGAGCAGGACAGGTCAATTACCCACAGTGTGAGCTCGGGGTTTACTCTTTCTGCAGTGCCTCCGGGAACTCCTGCTAGGCTCGTTTCTGTCACGTTTCCGCGTATCGATTGCTGGCCGATATGTGACTCTGAGGTGACATCTCTGCTATGATGGAGGGTGCTTTGTACACAGAGCGGTAAATGCAGGCATGCGTTTCTGCACCGTTTTGCAAGAACGTTTTGGAAAGGATCAAAAATCCCGAGCAGTCAGCAAGCGTTGAAACTGCTTTGACTTTTGCTGTTAACACAAAAAAGTGAAGTTTTCACCATTTAACGCGTTTAAATGCTAAGCGGGGCTCAGTTCGTGTGACATCATTCGCATTAAATCTCCACAGCGGATATTTGGGTGGTTTTAATAACTACAGTTTTATCATTAAAGGAACTGTTGTGATTTTTTATGTTTTTTTTTCCTGTATGTTGTATCTGATCCAAAAATAAGTTGAAACAGTTTTTCCAGAAGAACCTGTGCAAACAGAGCATCGTCCGAATCACGCAGGGACATCTGGCGAAACACCGCCAGTCGCCGTGGACACTGATAATCAGAAATCGAAATTTTTCGAAGGCGGACACAAAAGAGGAAAGAAAAGGGCTCTGGAAAAAACACCAGAACAACCGGAAAGGCCACCAACGCCAACTGAAAGTGAGTAAAATCATTAGTATTTAGTAAGAGAGAGAGAGATGCTATTAAAATTGATCACTGGGACCCCTAACGTTGCGGGGATGCAGTCGTGCTCAGCAGAGCAGCTGTAATTGATCTCTACAAAAGCCAGTACGGGCCAGAAGGGCCCTGTAAGGAAAAGAACAGATGGCCGGAACAGCGGCCCCATAGCTAAGGGTATTACCCGGAAGGGCGCCAAAGTTCGTAAGCGAAGTGGGAAAGCGCCGTGGTGGAGCGGTGATCGCCCAAGGTTGTCTGCCCTATGTAAACTATATTTTCGTAACTTCGAGTAGCGGTTCAACAATTCCTAAAGCAGTCACTTTTCCTTTACATTCGGTGAAAAATCAAAACGAGGCAATAAAACGAGCATTTTTAATTTTTTATTTATTTTTATTGCATTGATCTCAGTGCCGGGGGTTTTATTATGTATTTTTGTACGTTTTTGAAACGCAAAAACGCATATTGCCAAGAGGTCGACAGTTTATGTACGTGTGTTTGTCTGTGTGTTTGGGGTTATCATCCATTCGCTGCTTCGCAACCGGAAAGGGCGGAGAGCTAAAATTTTAGGAACGTATTTCCACTGCACGTATAACTTCCCCGTTTTGAAACTATCATATATCATTTACATACGCTTTGATGTCGCGTACAGACCCCTAAGGAACTTCCGAATTTTTTGGCGGAAAACGATTTCGAGAACTAATCAATGTAGAAGGCTAAAATTTTGAGGGATTTTCATGCACATGTGTATACTGGTTTTCAAACTGGTCATCAAGTGTGTCTACGTTTCACGTACGACCACGTCAAAGTTCGTCGTTCGCATCGCGCTGGCTCTCCCACCTAAACTAAATTTTGGACCATATCTGTGCCACGTGTAAGAGCGCTCCAAAGATATTTGTAGCGGAATGGTGACTTCAGGGTCTAGGCAGGTTAAGAAGCTAAAATTGTATGAGACTATTCTGTGCCTGTGCGCGGCTCGAGGAATGCCTAGATCTATCGTTACATACTAGCAGAATTTTATTTTAGGCAGTTTTAGCACTCATTTATTCTGTATTTAGAGTAAGCAGGAAGTCGCGGTTTCGTTATGAGGATTACTCTCCATGTGCAAACTGTATGCGTAAAAATTAGCTTCTGCTTTAGCATGTATCCTGTGTACAAGTGCGTCAAATGTTCAAACTGCAGCATCTTTGTTAGTCTCTCTCGGTATTAGAAATTTTTTTAAGATTCTAGCGCACCTTGTGCGCCATAACAACGTAGAAACAGCTTTCATAAATGTCTAAGTCTCGCATACGAATGTGGCGAATTTGAGGGTAAGTTTTTGCCGAGGGCACCTTGATCACATAAAAGCAGTTGAGTTGTCACAATGCTTAATAATGCAACACTACTGTCCCTGTTCCCCTTGCACGCAAGAAAAGACCAAAACATTGCCAACATGAGTGCACATATTTAACTCTAAAACAATAAACATTCATAATTTAATGAACTGATTGCTTCAAAATTAGCGCAGAAACTCATAATTTTGCAGGAAACGTTGGTGCATATTACAGCTTGGGTTTTCATATGCGTATTTGTTCAGTCACTTGCGAAATTTCACTTTTTCATCGTTTCGTAACATTTCTGTGAGCTTTAAACTTTATTACAATGTTTTGCAGTTATTCAGCAACGGGAGCAGGAGTGGCGTGAGCGTCAGCGTAAACGGCGGGAGAAACATAAGCGGCGTCAAAATGAATTGTCGGAATGCTGGAATAATGACGGTTGGTTTATTTGCAAAATAATTATTGTCATGCATAAAGAGTTAGGGATTTTCACCGCCAAAAAGTTACTGTATGAGCGAGGGTATTTCGGTTTTTACAGTTTTATAAAACGTGGGTACTGACTGCATTTGAAGGATGTAATACCGATGTTTGCTATGGCAGTAAAAGGTTATTTACGTTAGGTCATTTCTAGCAAACCTGGAAATCGCAATAATGTAAAAAGTCATCGATGAATAGCGTACTGAAGAATGCAGTTGGGCTCTCTTTACCTTATTTTTTTCTTTTTTTTTACTAAGTCGTCGTCCTCGCTTTATCTTGAATATTCCCAGTGGCGACATCCAATTGTGGTGATAGTTTTCATAGTGGCAAAGAAAACATGAGTAATGGGTAAGCCGTGGTTTTTCTTTTTGTAATATAAGCGATACTAGTGCAATTTTTATGCGTTTTACGCTGTGTAACAGCAGCACAAAACGCATATTATCATACCTTTCTCTGTGTGTGTTTTCCTGTGCTTCTGTCTGGGTGCATTTTTTTATCTCGCAGTTTAAACTCGGGGAACTACAAAAGCTAGGTAAAAAATCCATAGGCTTAAATTCAGCCTTCCCGCGCGCTTCGGTATCACGTGCGGCTCTCTGAAAGCTTCGACAGGGAAAATTATTATCTTAGGAAACCCGAAAGCTAGGAAGCTAAAATTTTAGGGCACTGCCCTTCTGCCCATTATGTGACCCATTTAATGTAAGCTCAGCCTTCCCACGTGCCTGGGTATCACGTACAATCCCGCAAAAGTTTCGGCGGAGAAATTGCTATCTCGGAAGACATAAAAGAAAAAAAGCTGAAATTTTTGGCCTTTGTTCACATGCGACCTCGCAGATTTAAATTCAGCCTTCACATTCCCGTGGGTTTCTCGTACACTTTTAGCTAGAAAAATATGTCGGAATCAAGAAAGCTGTAAGGTCGGATTTTCTGGAAAATGTTTTCTCCCTGTGCAGGGGCCTCACAAACTTAACTCTCAAGTATTCCAAGGTCTTACATACAACTGGTTGTGAGATTTAACGTGAAAATCACTGGTTCGGGAGCGGGGAAGGGGTTACGATGTTGGAATTTGGAAGGGTGTTCCTCGTCGGAAGTTTCAGATTCAGCTTTTACGTACGTTTGTTTATGTTTCACACACTGACACGTGAAATTTTTGCTGGAAATTTTTACAGCTTATGAGTCAAACAGTGTATCGACTATTTCTGTGCACATGAAAGTGTAGAACGGTGTAAATTTTTGGCTGGCAAACATCGGCTGAACGGAACTGCGCAAAACGCATGGTCGCACTGTCTGCGCTGACATGCGCTGCTATTTTTTTGTGGTTTGCTAGTGCTGTGTCTCGTCGTATCTCGGCCTTTCAATGAATAATTGGCTCATAGCTCAGTGCTCTTAGCTGCTGGCTTTGATGTTGTCCCGGAGAGCTTGTGGGCTTAGAAAGTTACAGGTAAAAATAACTATCAGAACAGTGCTCTTGACTACTCTCGCAATTTTTTTTTTTTTGCAATGTAGAAAAGAAAATAGCAAATATGCATGCTTTTTTCCGCTGAGTTGAGTTATACGGTAAAATCTTAGTGTCCTTCCTTGATGTGTAGGTTGGCTGTATGAGCAGCGAACCGTTGTTACTCTTTCTCAGCGTCCAAGAATAGCATAGTTTGCAGTTATGGCGGAGAAAGAATCATATCAGAAGTTTACCAGCATGATCGAGCAGATTTTTGAAAACATCGATGATTTCGACGTACTGGCAAGTGGCAATGGTTTGTTTTCATGAAGCTCTTCTTTTAAGAAGTTATTTCAAGTGAAAGCTGACTTCTGGTAGTACTTTTCGCAAGTGAACATCTCCAACTTCCATATGCATTACACATGCTAATACTGAAATCCTTAATTTGTTCTGTACTGCTTTCATAAAACATGAACTCGTGGATATGAGTTTTGGACGAACAAAACTTTGTTTCCAAGGCAGTATTGCACTTTGCTCATCATTGCTTGTTAATAAGCAAAGGTGGTGGATTTCTCCTGCCATTTAGCATAGGAATAATAGTTGAAGCTGGTCACGGATAATATGGATTGGCAATAATAGGGATCAAGATAAGAGGGCTTATTGAATATAATTGATAACAGATAATTTTTATAGCAGATAGTGAAGGTTTGGTCACGCAGGATGTCCTCATTGACAAGGGTCAGCTACAGGAGTTGCGCGAAGAAGCACAGAAGCTGAAATCATGGAACATCATCCACAAGGTTTCTAGTTTTGCTTATTAAGTCAAAGAATGATTTTTTTTTTTTTTTGCTAACAACTGTTTTGAGTGTTTGTTTAATGATTGTCGCTGAAGAGAAATGTGATCTCATATTGGCAGCATCCTGATGAAGTCGATTTTCGTGGGAATTCCTTTGTCATCAACTTACTGGCGTACCACTTGCAATAAGTGATGGATGGCAATAGGTTGTTGGAAGGTGCTCCTGGGAAGAGATAGTAGCATGCATCCAGCATTTTAGTCGAGCAGAGTGAAGAATCGAAGCAGAACAAATACAAAAGACTACAATCGGGCCGACCGCGAAGCAGCGTAGAACCAGCCACATTTAGAACTGTCTTGGAATACAATAACTTCAATAGTTTCTAAATGTAATATAAACCATCGAGACTGCTGTAATCTCTACGCATTCTATAAAACGGCAGTTGTTAAGTGTTCAAGTACGTGAACAAGGGCAAATTTACCGCCTGTGCGTTCAACTACTGACTTACATAATCAGCCTTCAGAGCATTTTGGCTCGCTGTATTTTTTAATACAGCATATTGCGAATTCGAGTTCTGCTTTTAGGGCTTATGATACTTATTCAAGTGATAGCCGGATTCAGTGTGAGTTCTATACTGTTTAGGTGAATTCCGAGCATCTCGTTACACTGTTAACAATTCTGGAAAAAAATGTGCGTGATGTTATCGGTGCCGACGGTGAGCAGTCGATCATTCCACTATTTAACGAGGTATTTCATTCAGTTTAGTCATAGCTACCGTGGAAAGTCAGTACGGCCAATATTTAAAGAAACGATGGATTTTCTTTTTCTGACTGCTTTAACATTGGACGAATTTTGTATCTCATGGTTTGACTGTTTTCGAGTTGCAGATCTACAATTTTTTAGGTCCTTTTTTTCCAGTGTCATGCGGAAACCATTCCAGTTTTTACCGCGCAACGAGTTATTTCAGCAGGCACTGTCGAGTGCATAAGAAGTTGTGAATAAAATGAAGAATTTGAAGATTTTTTAAGTATGAAACTAGTCATTCAATTAATGAGGAAAATAAACATATGATATAAGGGGGTCAGGCTCATAATGCAGCTCCTTCAGATGAAGTCCGGAAATTGTTGCTTCGGTCGCATATCTGATTTGCAATGATGTGACCGAATTGTTCAATTTTAAATGTGAATTTTAGGACATTTTTGAGTTTTCATTAAGCAAAATTTTTCGATTCAGAATTATTCGAAACAGTTTTTAGGATGATGAGGATGATTCGAGTGAAACTTATCGTGAACTAATCAGTGATCGTATTTTGCGTGCCGCCAATGCGTCCTGTACCGCCATGCTTATTATGACTTCGACCAGAATGCCCAAGCAGGTTAGCCCAAACATGCACGCAAATTGAATTAAAATTCTGTTAGCACTATAGTAATGCACTTCATGCCTTGGTAAGTCCTTACAGCTTTCAGCGTAGTCCCATCCAAGCAGTTAATGAACCCTTCGTAGCAATGTTAAGTGCGCAGGAAATCGAACATCCCGTATAAATTTGCCCGTGCACAGCGAACTACTCAGAAGCTTTCTGTATGGCTCACTGTGAAGTTCTGTGTGGTTTTTCTAAGTCTTATCATTTTTTAATTGTTCGGCAGCTCTCACTGTTTTTTTTTTTTTTTGCCCTCTCATCGTATTTTCTTATTTAAAGCATTGCCACGATCTAAAACCACCAATTTCCATTCGTCTACCTTTCAGCATATTACCAGTAGCGCCAAAAGAAATTAACTGAAATTTTGACTTGGTTATGCCATTTTTGAAATGGTCATCTGATGATCATGAAATTTGTTATGGGATTGGACTTATTTAAACCAAATTGCTGCAGGTGGATCACACTTGTTTAGTGTTGAATGAACTACGAGTATAATTCTGGAGTTGCGGATTCTCGTTTGCAAGTTTGCCTGAATCACGATTCCGAGATATCAGCGAAATTTAGCATTTTTTTTTTTTTTTCAGACTGCCACTTTTCTAAATTTGATCATCTTGTTTCCCCTTTAAGATCGCTGCAGACAGTAATCGTGGCAGTTGTGAATGATGATAAGAACACAAGCAGTCATAAGTTAGAGGCGGCTGGATGAGTATGATTTGAACTTTTTTTGTGGTGGCGAGTTTTGTTTTTGTTTCAGATCTTCATCGAAGACACCATAGATCGTTCCATTCAACTCTGCAAGCAGTTTCTCAGCAGTATCGTGTATCCGGCGTATGATAGCTCGTGTCGCACATCTGACAAAGGAAAGAAAAATGGTTAGCAAAAGGCTTCTTACACTATGCTTTTCCCAAATGTTTCTGTTTGCACTCCCAAACACATTATTCATCTTTTCCATTGTGACATACTGATTCCTTACGGCTGGAATTTTCGCAACTGAGTTTAGCTGTAAAAGCTCTTTTGCCGGCATCCTTTGACTCGGGCCATTCTCTCGGCTTGTTAATGCGCCCCGTATCTCTTAGATTGTCTTAATTGTTCATCTTTATGCGGTTTTGCATATTTATGCAAGTGCAAAAACCCGTATTGACATGAGGTTGTCTGCGTGTATATGTTAGCATTTTGTAGCCCAATTTCAACTCAGCATCCAGAGGAGATGGGAAGTTGAAACTTCTGAAACATTTTCCCATCCGCTGTGCTATCCTTCTGTTTTAAAATTATCGTCCGCGTGCGCTTGGGTCGCAGATTTATTGGGAGGGA